ATGGACATATTTTATATTTAATTGTATATAATTATATACACATAATTATATAATTTTTTATATACAATTTTATATGTAATTATATATAAATATATATAATTATATACAATTATATACAATTACGTACAATTATATATAAAATATTTTTTTCAGGGAAAATATAAAATATTTGATAAAGAATAAAATTTTAAATAAAAACACTATTTATTATTTAAATATTGCTATAACTAATGATTCTTCGCCTTTTCCTACTTGTTTTAAAGTACAAATATTTTTCGTTAGTATTTAATCTGTCGATAAGTTTCCAATTCGAATGATTATATCTTATTCATATCTCTGAGAAAAAACTATCAGATAACAAGTACTTCATTCAAAATAATCCTAATAATGCTCAATTTTTTCACCTCTAGATAACTTTATCCAAGAGATATTTTTTAGAATACGATGGAGATATCTTCTGGATAAGATTATCCGCAACTTACCTGGAAGTAAAGAAATTGGGCATAAGAGAGATATGTTCAAGTATAAAAAAAGTAATAATTTATATCTCTCATTTGCATAAAAAATGTATCTATATATTGTATTAGGAAAATAATTTTACATTGTTTATAATATCATGATCTTCTTAATTTACTTAAAAAATTGACGCGAGAGTTTTTTTAGAAATTTTCTAAGAATATAATATTTTCTAAGAATTCTTTATACTCTGCCAAGTATTTCATAATATTTTTTATTTATCTTGAAGTCAATCGAGAATATAAATAAGGGAATTAATAATATCTAAAGGGAAATAATATCTAAACAATATTGTAACAATATTCAACACTTTTATACTTTACTTTTTAATATTAATTATGTGTTAATAAAATTATCACATATCATTTTATAAATTTTTTCACGAGGTCTCTATTTTAACAATTGTTTTCGTAGTAGTACTTGAGTCAGATTGTTCAATATCTGTTGTCTTTAATTGGATCCATCTAAAAAGAAGCAAAAGAATTTTAAACATCGAATATTTATTGTAGAAAAAACTATCATTTTTTTCTTTGATAAGTTAAATTAACAAAATAATATCTATGCAAGATAATACATACTCAATTCCGGTTTGACATGAGCCTGGCGTGAGTCCTTCTTTCTTTTGCGCGACATATAATTCATTACCCGTTATAGTATCTTCCCGAGGCGATTCAGATGATAATGAGTCCCGCACCTTTTGTAAAAATATAAAAAAAAAAAAAAAAATGTAAAATACTATTTATCTGCGATTGTTTTTATAATTTTTGCACCCACCCCTTCTGCAGCTTGCAAAACCCGAATAAAATTCCTGCCAGCCAATTTTTCTAAATCCTCTTTGGTCCATGTTGGCTCTCCCTTTTGACTCTCATATAAACGGTCGAATAGATCGGGATACTTGGAGACGTCTTCCAATCCCACTGGCACTCTGATTAATTTCATCAAGTATATTTTGTTTGCATTTATTTATCTCATCATGTAACAATTATATTGTTACATGATGATCAAAGTCAATGTAATTACTTACGAGATTACACCATCATAATCTGCGCCGATACCGACATGGTCTGGTCCGATAAGATTTCGAATGTGATTTATATGTTCTGAAAATATATCAATATATAATTAATCAAAATTGATATCATATTAAAACGTGTTAGTTACAATCTAAATTTCTTGTAGTGAAATTTCACTCCAAAAAAGTGAGAATATAATCCTTCACTCTTTTTAGAATAAATTTTCATTTCAAAGGAGCGAAATCTTATTTTTCTTTGAAGTGAGATTTCACTTTTTTGAAATGAAAATTCACTCTAAAAAGAATGAAAATTGTTATTCTTTTTTCAAGAAATGAAATATTTTTACTTTTTTTCAAGGATATTTTCATTCTCTTGAAGAAAGATTTCATTACAAGAAATTTAGAGTGCAGTCACGTAGTAGAACTGATTGATCAACGAAATAATATAAATTTAAATATTACAATAACATAAAAGAACATATTATTTGTATATTATTTCATAAAATCATTATAAGAAATACACGAGATTAATTTTTATCTTTTTAATTTTATTGTATCCCAGCATACATATCCAAGTTGAAACATAAGATGCCTTTAAAATAGTTTTCTCTTGATTTTAGATATGTATACTACCTATCTAAAGTAATTCATAATACTGCTGTGTAACTAAAGATAGTACTTATGACATCCTCTATCGTCGCGTTCCTTGAAGAATTGCAGTTCACGAAGTTGTTGTAGAAGTTTACCATAACAATACCATTATTCTTTTTCTGAAAGAAAGAATGTGCTTTTGTGTAATTTATCCGCTTCTCTCAGATGAAAAACTCTTTATTTTCGCGGTTCTTCCGTGTGAAAAAATTTTTGCAGAACGTCGAAGGCACTTACGACTAACTGCAGAACATCATCGGGAACGTTCCTGTAGTGGTTGCATATGCTAAAAGCGGACGAATGCGAGAACATGACGGGAGCTTTTGTTATTGCGAGCACTTCCCGCATAACGTTATGAGAGGTGTGAGCCAGATCAACCAGCATTCCAATTCGATTCATTTCATAAACAATCGCCTATAATTTATAAAGTATTATTGTTACTAATGGTCATTGAAATTTTCAACAATTGAACTACTTCGTTTAATACGATATGCGATTAATAAACGATAAAAATTATTTAACTCTCGAAAGCTGCAGTTATATAATATTATTTATTTTATTTTTATTTAATCAATGATTGACGTTTTTGCCTAATTAAACTTAAATGTATCTCATCGATCTGAGCAATGTGTTCATGCTTTCTGATTATTATCAAAAGCGCTTCATATCTATAATTCCATCAATTGCCATCTTATTGTTATTATTATTATTATATAATTATCGAGATACGTCGCGTCTTCATAATAATTTTGCATCATGTGATGGTACAAAGTGAAAGTTAAACGTTACATCAGATTTATATATAACAATAATAACGATAATTTCTAAAAATTTTTATGTATATACCTGTCCGAATTCCGTTAGATTGTAAACATTTCCTTCATTCACAGGTGATGCATCAGCCCTGTCAAAATAAAGATAAAGTACATTATAAATTTAAAATTGAGTCTTAGTTAACCCTTAACCGGGCGCGCCGCGACTGTACTGCAAAATTTGTTTTTTTGAAAAATCATTGATAATGTAGATCTTTTTTTATTACTGATTTTCGGTATTCCTCCATTTAACGTTAAATTTTAATATTATGTTTTACAAATATATTTTACTTGCTTTTATGACGGTTGTCCAATTATTTATCCAATTATTATAATTCCTAAATAATAAATTTGTGGTGCGGCACTCAATGCCGCTAATGTTTGGCGCGCCCGGTTAAGAGTTAAGATAAATTTATTTAGGATTAAACTTTATAGGATAAAATTTATTTAGGATAAAAGGTTGAGATAAAACTCTCGTTTCCAACGTAAAAATATCAGTCGCATATAGATTATATAAAAAATATCATTATCAATCATTATTAAGGAGGAATAAAAAATTAATAAAGTTCATGTGTATAGGATGTGATTATTTTCGTATCATGATTTATATTTTCAAGGATGATGATCGCACTTAAATAGCATGAGATATTAACATATCTAATTGTGGTAAACAGAATTAGGATATTGGATTCTGTGCGTTTATATACAAGCCGCATCTGTGTGACATACCACGGTGTATTGCAGCCATGAGTCAGGGTAACGTAACGAACCCCGAGGTGATAATAGAGTCTCAGAACCGCTAAGCTCGAATCAAGGGAGTGGCCGCCCTCGACGCCTATCATGGACGCTATTTTGCCGCTCCTCCACGTGGTTTCGATGTCCCCCGCGACAGTGACCAATTGCAAATTGTTTGGATATCGCTGAATAAATCGTCGAATCACGTCGATCTGTCGTAACGTTAGCTGTACGGCATCCTTGTATTGCGAATCACACGATACGTATGCCACCCAGAACTGAAAAATCACGTGATTCGCACGTTATTGTGCGAACGACAGATAAGATTAGCTCCTCAGCAGGAAGTCCTGCGATAGAGGCTTCTTCAGAAGATTGAGATAATGACCTCTCAATAAACATCAATTAAAAATAAATATAGCATCATGTGATAATTTTATACTCACAAATGTAAAATAATACTTGTGTTACATAACGATTATATTACTAAATGTGAAATTATAACATTGATTTACATTACTTTTCATTGGTGCTTAATTGAACTTTTTGCAGGCACTTAGCAAAAAATGAAGTAATGGATAAAAGCATGAGAAAGAGAAGATGATGAAAGGAAAATTTATCGGAAGGGAAACATTTGAGATAAAATGACTAATTTATTAATTGTGGAGCAAATAGATTGCGTGAATCTTAGATAATTAATCTCGTATAATCTCTTCTCATGCTCTCGTGACGTGACTCACCTGTCCACCCACTTTTCCTTTAGTCAGACGAGGTAGATCGGTGAAACACGAGGAACAGACGGTTTTTCCCCAGACATCGTCGTTGCTTAAATCATCTTCGAAACGGAAAGTCGATAAGTGGTTGTTCAACTTGCTATATAAATTGTATGGTAAATCGTTGTGGCTGTAAATATAACGATGACCGAGATAAATTTAGCTGATTGAAAGAGAAAGCGAGGAGAAACAGCGAAGATGCAGACGCAATCACATAATATCGATTTACTTGGTCAAATTGTATTTTATTAAAAATATCTTAAAAATATCTGAATACAGTATGTATCTTTGGACACAATAGTGATCGGTATTAAGAACAAGCACAGAGACATCATAGTTTACATACATCGTACTTGATATGGGTAATAACTTTCTATTGAATTATCTT